AGACCCCTGGAGGCCTGACAGCTGAGTGGACAGAGATTCGGATTCGTAGTCCTGAGGTTCCAGGTTCGATCCCCAATGGAGGCAGAAACAAATGGGCAGAGTTTCTTTCACCCTGATGCCCCCGTTACCTAGCAGTACACAGGTACCTTGGAGTTAGACAGCTGCTACGGGCTGCTTCCTGGGGGGGGGGTTACAAAAAGGAGGCCTGGTCGAGGACTGGGCCGCGGGGACGCTAAGCCCCGAAATCATCTCGACCTCAAAAGGAGAAACTTCCCCTAATGGCCCAGGAAGTCATGGGTACTAGTCCTTAAACCATAAAACCTAACCTATAGGAACGTGAGTGAAGGGAAGTGTCGGCAAAAAAAATTTTTTGTGTATTCCAAAAACACCGTTATTGTTTACTGTTGGGCCAAAGCGTTATCAACCGTAGGAGGGTTGGCCCATACAATAGCTTACCGATCAACTAGCAAGTATATTTTTGTCTAACAAACCAGGACTAAAGCAAACTGTGCAAACACGGAATGGGATACACCTATGAATATACCTCTTGATTAATGATACCGTTCTCAATTTCAATTTCTAGAAAGTAGAAAATAAGATTACAGTTGGTGGAACCAGTCGCCCCGTCCTTAAACCAATTGCACCTAAATTTTGAGGCTATCCCAGCGTTAGAATTCCAGAATGTAATTCTGTTGTCGTGGACAGGAAGCCTGTGTATATATACACGCACATTTTTAGACTTGGATCCAGGTCCCATCATCCTCCTCCTCCTCCTCTCTTCTGCCCCTTAGTCAAACTACTGACCTTCCCCAGGATGCAACCCCACTACAGTTGCCTAACTCCCGGGTACCTATTCATTGCTAGGTGAACCAAAGCATTAGGTGAACGGAAACGTACCCAACGCTTCCCGTTATACAAACCCACGTAAAATTTTGATATTTTTCAAACAACGACCTAGTTGTCATCGTTTCCGTATCAACGAGAAGAAAACTAGGAGGATCATAAAGAGCAAAATTTTCCAAATCGTTGCAAAGATGAGACACTGTTGCAAGGAAGGTAAATGGTACATTCAATTTTCAAACTCTTTCCTTACAAATAGGCTTATAAAGTCCTGGCTCTTATGACATTGAGGTGACCGACAGAGCTAATAGAAGGGGCATTTTTGTGGTTATATATATATATTTGAATACATAGCCGTCTCATGGCAGTCAGCTAAGACGACTATGAGACGAAATGAGGAGCTCGCTTACCGCACTCAAACGGGCAATGCACACTTCACTTAAAAATAAACAATCACGAAAAAGAGCATTTGGTACAAAAGTTTTATTCCAATTTAGCAAGACATCTAATCTGGTTAGCAACATTCGATATGGCAGGCAGGAGAATCCATTTGCCTAAGAAATAGCTAAGAGAGCGGTTGCTAGTAGTGTACCATAGTACCATGATTTACCATTTAGCAGTGGCAAGCTAAAACTGCAATTTTTTAGTAGTTATCTGAATAGAGATATTACCCTCATTTTAAATCACAAACAGTTAAGTCGAAATCACGGAAGAAAAGAAGAGGGAAGAGGGAAGAAAAATTTCTAATACAGTGTAGGTGATTAGTGAAAACAAGGGAGGGTAATTTAAGCAGTAATCCTTTGACATACAGATATAGAAATCAATCAGGAAATGGAGTGAACATCCAGATATACCGGAAAACAGGAAATGGCACTCAAGAGGATCAACAAGTTCACACCCCTCGAAGGTTATATCCCCACCCCCTCCAAGCACCACTTAAAAAATGGAAGAATGAATGAATGTAAGATGGTAATGGAGGGGGAGAGGGAAGAGGAGAAAGAAGATAAGGAAAAAAAGTGAAAGGGCACAATGCAAAGAGTATGAGGATAGCGAGGGTAAAAGATACAGAAAATATAAAGACCGAGGAGGGTGGATCGAGATTGGAAAGGAGAGGGGTAAGCGGAGTGGGGTTGGGTCGGGCTTGTGGGGTGGGGGAGAGGGGAGGGATGAAATACAAGGACTGGGGAAGACGGTGTTGGGTTACCATCCAGGAAACTGGCATCAAGGAAGCGTCTTTTAAATCTGATCCACACTGCTTCCTCAGCTGATAGCACATTCAAGTCACGAAGCCTCACCAAAGTATATCACAGAATTAAATATAAACCTGTACTCCACACAAGGGCCGCAATATACGTCTTCATAGGCAGAGAATAAGTCAACGTGACTAGAAACACCACAACCCTCACACAACTAGGCTAGTACATGAAATGAAAGACGCCTTACTTTTATTTAACAAATATTAAAGCTGCTCCTTCCTCTTAGTAAACACTGTTCAGAGATACGAGCCAAAAATCTATCCCTTTTACAGATTAAAGTGTTCCACCATAGGACTAGTGGCTGCTAAATAACAACATGCCCAAGTTAAAAGCCACAGTAAGTTTATATAACCTAAATAAGTAAATCGATAACGTAATTAGGCCTAATAATAAAAACACGGTTTGCTAGATTACGAAATATTTAAACATTTCCCCACTTTGCACCCGCAAGATAACGCAAGTTTGAATGTTGGTACATGTTAATCTCCTTGTTTGACAGTCTGTTGACTTGAGACAGTTAAGGGAGTACTAGCTGCGTCTAGGTACAGTGACAGGATGAACAACCCAGCGGGATTTCCTCTAATTGGGAGGCTACATGCTATAACGTCATGTTCACTCACAGGACGAGTGACGCTGCCCAATAAACTCTTCCTCTGGGATAAAATACACGATAAATAATTCATCTAGTGAGAAAGACCGTTCCAGTAGTCCATCTGTGGTTGCGACCAGACCCTATAGCGACGTGCTCAGACTTACAAATAATACATTAGCCTATTCTCCAGTACCTGCACCAAGCGTCGGCAACTTGACCCTTGTGGACATAGTCCACAAAATTATACAACTATTCAACGAGTCCCAATTATATAAACATTCTTAAAAACCCACTTATAAAAGGTTGGCAATTATGATAATATTTCAATAGAGCTGGAAATAGTTTGAATACTGCAATTACAAAATATACTACGATTCCACGAAAAATTATTTGAATACAGTACTTAGTGTCTGTTGGTCAGATTAGCATTTTAAAAGCACTACAATCACCTTCTGTGGTTGATTGTTCAATAAATCCCTGTACTATATGTTTAACAGATCTCACCCTGTCCATGGAGGACAGAAGAAAATTTATATATGCTGGTTAGCATTGTAAATGTGTGGCCAAGTCTGTGGTAGAAAAAAATAAAGTACAATACAAGACCTTACTGTCATCCTGCTCACTACCTAAGTGCGTACTGCTTATCTAAGGGAGCGTACCGATAACAATTCCACTTAAAACAAAATTCCTGGAGCATGTACTTTTCAAACGCTTTAAAATTTACGCATTCTACTTTTATACTATCGCTCTAGTTCCGGTTTTTACTCTAAAACGTATTAGTACAAGGCATTTCTACCCGAATGTTTCAGTGCATCATTTATCGAAGTCGCCCAACCTGCCGTCAATGGTGTCAACCCGCAAAAAGGTAAAGTAAAGGAGTTTATTCCTCAAATTGACGAGCACTCGCGACTCTCTTTACGGGGTTTGTGTTCTACGTTATGACAGGTTATCAAGTTAAGGGACCATAAGGGACCTCGCGACCATTACAGGAGGGATGGATACGTTAATTTCTGGCCCAAATGTTTCAACCGTTTCGTACAAAAATGATTAGGGAACAAAAATGATTGCTAACATGGGAAGCCTAGATTAACGTCACAGCAAAATACATCACTGTACACATGATGGTTCGACAAAAATTGTTAGAATCTACCTAACCTTACACAAACCGAGCCCGCCTAACACCTGCCTGGAAAGTGATGTGGTGGAGGTTGACTCCATACACAGCTTTAAATGTAGATATGATAAGAGCCCAGTAGGCTCAGGAACCTGTACATTAGTTGATTGACAGTTTAGAGACGGGACCAAAGAGCCAGAACTCAACCCCCACAAGCACAATTAAGTAACTAGATAAGTACATCCTCATTCACACACACATACACACAGTTTGACAATCGGATCAGGAAAATAGCTCTGTCGAACAGTTGTCCCATTAGGATGTTACCATAACTCTCCCACTTACTGTCTTAGGGTAGCACATATTAGTCCTCAGACATTCCTTAAGCAGTCTTCATACGTATGATTCTGTAGTCTTATACATTCCGCAACAAAGATAAATAAAAAGTATTTAATAAACGTAACAAACCGGGTTAAGAAGGCACGTGACAAGGAAACAGCAAAGGAGAGGAGAGTTGGAAGAGATACACAACCCGCGTGGAATCTGTGTACAAAGATTACATTTAAGGGACTTAAAAAGTATCAAGATGTCGAGGAAGGAGGAGAGTAAACTAAGCTAGCAACAGTGGGGAGGAGAGGGGAAGAGGAAAATAAGCGAGCAACAGGGGGGAGAGGAAAATAAGCGAGCAACAGGGGGGGAGGAAAATAAGCGAGCAACAGGGGGGGGAAGAGGAAAATAAGCGAGCAACAGGGGGGGGAAGAGGAAAATAAGCGAGCAACAGGGGGGGGGAAGAGGAAAATAAGCGAGCAACAGGGGGGGGAAGAGGAAAATAAGCGAGCAACAGGGGGGGGGAAGAGGAAAATAAGCGAGCAACAGGGGGAAGAAAGGTGTGTTAAGGAGGGGATTTGTAGGATACAGTAGGGGGGGGTTGGAGGGGTGAGGGACGGCCATGTGTGTGTGTATGTGTGAGTGTGTGTGAGAGAGGGAGTGCATGTGGCCAAGGTATCGCCTGAGGACCGTTACTACCAACCCCGCTACCAACACCAGCTTCCCCCTCGCCCACACCACCTGCTGGCTCCCAAACCCGCCCCGCCGCCCCCTGCCTCACACACCTCCACACACGCCGCCACAAACCTCAACATTCCCACCAAATACACCCAAATAAACCGTTCCGCAGGACTCGCATTCCGTTCCTTACCTGTCGGAACGTCGCACGCACCAAATACACAGTTACAAAACTCATATAAACAAATACGACGAAATTCCTAGCGCTTTCAGGAAGATGCGGGCCGCTTTGCGTGAGATTTTTGTGCCGTTTTGAGCCGGTGTCAGGGCGAAGGAAGGGCTGTGCCGACGTACCCGAGGGCTAGGAAGGTGTCCCTGAAGACTGGAGGAGCACCACACACACACACCTCACTCACCGCGCACCACAGACCAACTGTCGGCTCGGGGCGAGATGTCGAGCTCACCGCCATCTGTTGAGCGCCGCCGCACCTTTGAGAGCGTTTACTTCCCCGGCCAGCACCCCCGTCTTCTCTCATACTCTCCACTCTTTATACACCAAGCCCACCATTTATTTAGATTCATATATATATATGTTGATGTGACGACTTATACTGAATTTTGTAACTAGCTCATCAAGATTGTAACTTGCTTAGCTTAATGAATTGTGGGGTTCAGTCCCTGAGCCCATTATGTGCCTCTGTAACCCTTTCCACTACCGTCCACAAGATGGGTATGGGGTGCATAATAAATAAACTAAACTAACTCATATATATACAAGAGTTATTGCATTCTACCATTTTATTATTATTTCATTATTATTATTATTTATTATTATTTATAAGATATACAATAGATCAATTACAGAGGTTACTTATTAGGTACGATATTTGTTTTGGCCACATATCTTACATTAACCTTTTTTTAGGGATTTTTTTTTAACAACATTCGCCTAAAAATTATTAACAAAGTCGACCGATGTTACTAAATGAACATAACTTCGTGTTTGTGCTAGAGAGCCTAATGATGTCTGTCATTAAATAGAAGAGTGTTCGCACAATTCAGTTTTTCTGTCGTTTTAATTCATAAAAATAATCTACTTCTCAAACAGGTGACTACTTATCCAAGACGCATATTTTTCTTGATATAGAAACACAATTCAAATAAATAAGTTACATCTACAACTAATTTAACAACAACAACAACAACAACCTTTACATTTTAACAACCTTTACCTGGTTGTTAATTAAACGATTGGGGGGGGGGGTTCGTATTCCGGGGAACATAGGATTAAGGGTGTTGTTGTTATAGATTCAGCTACTCGGAACAAGTTCCAAGAAGCACGGGCTATGGAGAGCACGTAGCTTCGTAGCTTACCTGGCACAGGAGCGGGGCATGTAGCACGGGCTATGGTGAGCCCGTAGTGGACTTACCTGGCACAGGAGCGGTGCTGTGTCTGGATTAAGGACTTGCCCGAAACCCTATGCGTACATAGGCTGTACAAGAATGTAGCAAGTCTTGTATATATATAAATAAATAAAATAAATAAAAAATAAATAAAAAAATATTTGTGTTTTAGGTAATTTATGCCCCCCGCACCAGGCTACATTCGTTCCATTCAGCGGCCGACCCCAAACACGCACTCATCAATTTTAATGTCATGTTAATTCAAAATAGGACTTTTCTCAAATATAAATTAATATTATTATATATAAGCATTTTTGTGTATATTTATGGAAAAGGTTCGATGTTCAGGTTCTATTGACAATTTTAGGCATTTCAACCTGTCCTCAGGCCAGGCTCGTTAAAGCTGCAGCCCCAAAAGCTCCCCACCCCCCCCCCCCCAAAAAAAAAAGAAGCATTCATCATTTTTAACGTACTGTGTATTACAAATAGGTTTCCTCTCATATATAAAATCCCTAACGATTCACGGTAACAGGAACAACAATATCTTATTCGAAAAAAGACAGAAAGCGTAAGTTGTGTAAAATGTCGATACGAGCTTTACTTCACGTTTCCATTTCCTAAGTATAGATAATAGCACTATTATACTTCCAATCATTCGTGAAACTATTGACTAACTTCACCATGTTCGGTTTAGAATTGTTGGGCTTAAGGCCTTTCAACCACAGGAGTGGAGAGATAAGAATTTTGCACCAAGATTGTAACCTTTTGTTGAATTGTCTGAATGTCTATTGCAAATTATCTATATACCTAGTCATAAAAAGTATTTGTGTGTACGTCCGGTAACATACTACATGTGTAAAGGAAGAAATGTTTATGTTTATCACTCAGAATGTTCGGTAATGTTTATTGTTTGTGATGTGTCTATATATGTATGAACACATTGTACTGATCAGGGTGAGAATAGCTTGAGCTACCTCATCCCTCTGTGTGTATTTTACGTCAATAAATTTATTTCAATTACAAGAGGATTATCAAGGCCACCACACGAGCATAGCCTTACTGACCAACCAGCAGGCATACTAATTTAGTCTTAAACAGGACTAAAGTAAACGCAGCGTATAATGCACCAAAAACCTGGGCATCCGTCCAGTAAAAAAGTTGATCAGGGAAAATACCGAAGGCGGCTAAAAATTTCAATTTTTGAGTTCACACTTTCCTGAGGATGATAATACAAATTTCTTAGATAATTTATGTTTATCAGGTCGCAGAAATACATAATTGTTAATGCATATGCATTACCTGGAACGTTATGATATATATATTATACAGTAATTTTTCAGTAGTAACTTTGGGAATTTATATTTTAAAACTCTGTCAAAAACAGATCAACCACTTTATTGTTTATCAAATATTTGAAAAGCAATGTTCTGTCTGTGCTTTTCTCAGTGTCTTAACAGCTCCTCCAATTGAACTTGGGAGTAAAACGACGGCTTCACTTCTTGGAGGGTTTGCGTTCGATCCCCTCTCTCCCTATCCCTTTCCTGGTCCAACTGAGTGGTTGGGCACTGTTTCTTCACTCCATCATCATAATATTACTCCTTGTCCACAGTCCATGTGTTATGTAGTCATATTGGCTTAATGCTTTCTCTTGTTAATTACCTTACCTGATTGGCTAATTATTGTACCATAATTTGGTACAATAATCTGTTTTGGGATATTTCTGAGATGTTAAAACAGATAAATATTAATTACAGATTACAGAAACAAGTTGCTTTAAGTAACTGAAAATCCCTTTAGATATCCCTCTGACGTTTAATATTATAAAACAACTTTTGAACAATTGCCGAATACGAGAATTTCCCCCCTGGCAAATCTTGGATTGTTTACAAAGATGTTGATATTGGTTTAAATAGTTTGTTTACACAGGGGGCAGAGCGGGGAGAGCGCTAGGCATCTCCTGAGGCAGGCGGCGTGGTAGAGGTGGCGACACGGGGTGACGCGCCCTTGGCGAACCTCCTCCAGGCACACAGGACACGTCGAGTTGTGAGCTATCTCCTGAAAAAGGGGACGAGAAAGTGTGTGTTAGTGTGAGGAAAGGGAGAGAGAGTGAGGAAATGAAGTGTATGAGAGAGTAAGAAATAATAATGTGCAAGTGATTCAATTTCTTTCTTTTTTATGTGCGAGTAAGAAAAGATGATGTGTGAGGAAATATAAGAGATAAAGACGGACAGGCATTGAGAAAACAGATAAATTATATTATAATTATTCACATATCAACATTATTTTGCCATTATTTGAAAGAAAATACAACTCAAGTAAATGAGAGAGAGAGAGAGAGAGAGAGAGAGAGAGAGAGAGAGAGAGAGAGAGAGAGAGAGAGAGAGAGAGAGAGAGAGAGAGAGAGAGAGAGAGAGAGAGAGAGAGAGAGAGAGTAATACTTCAGCAGTAGCCCTCCTGCACTTGGAGGTAACGACGCCATCCCTAGCCTCATGAGCTAAGTACTCCGCCCTCAGGAGCAGCCCCGGCACCAGTAGGTTGGTGTAGACAGCCACTAAAACCAGCCCGGGGCAGGATACGGTCAGGGGCGCCGCCACACACACCGACGCCGCCACAGGGACTCCCCGGAGGAGCATGGGAACCCAGAATTCCTCTTCCTCCTCCAGGAACTCCATTTCAAGAGTACGAATCCACATCACAATACGTTCGTTGCCTGAAGGAGACGGTGAGATGTTTGATAGGTTTTGATTTGTTTTAAACAATAGAACGATAACTTAAATTATGAATTAACGTACATACATATACATACATGTTATGTACTAGACGTGGTATCCCTAGATTGTTTCAAAGGTAGGTTAGACATATATGTTAATAAGTTTGGTTGATATAAATAGGAACTTCCACGTATGGGGCAATATAGGCCTACTGCAGATTCCTTTATTCTCATGTTTTTCTTATACATACATACTAAGTATATATACATTATCAGTACACTGTTTTCCACAATCAGCCCAGAAGAAAACGATGAATAATTACGACAAAAACATTATATACATTAGAGAAGAAAAATATCACTCATTCATTAAATCATTCAAGCTACGATGAAGAACACCACCACACTTTAATAAATCGAACATCTTCTTGCTCAACCCGTCCTCACACTAGGCTGTTTAAAGCAGCGGCCGTCCTCCCCAGACGCATTCATCAATTTTAACATAATGTGTATTAAAAATTGGTTTGTTCTCATATATAAATTAATATTATTATTCGTAAATTTTTATGTATAGTTAAGCTAAGGTTAGGTTAGGTGTTTAGGTTCTGATGGTGATTATTTGTATTTGCAACCCGTCCTCGAAGTCCATTACATCCAGCGGTCGGCCCCACAGAGGCATTCATAAATTTTAACATGCTATTCATTCAAAATGGGAATTTTCTCTAATATAAATTAATATTACAATATATTAGCATATTGTGCACTTTTGCAGCCCGTCCTCCAAACAAAGACCCAAAAGTGATTCCATGCACCCGAAAAACCCCTGTTTATGAATGATAAACGGTTTACACACGACTCACAACTGCTGACGTTCGAACACTTCCGGTACAAGTGCTCACTGACGAATTTTGTTCGAACCACAACGTTATAAATGCTTCACCCACGTACGACAAATACAATTAATCGCCAACAGAACCTAAACACCTAACCTATGCCTATATATATGCACAACATGCTAATATATTATAATATTAATTTATATTTAAGAAAATTACCGTTATGGATGAACAGCATATAAAAGTTTATGAATGCGTCTGCGGGGTCGACTGGTGGATGTAATGGAGTCAACCTGTCCTCGACTCAAGTCCATTACATCCAGCGGCCGACCCCACAGACGCATTCGTAAATTTTTACATGCTGAGGTGGATAGGAGCATGAGGTGAACGGAACGCGACATGCTGTTCATTCAAAACGGGAATTTTCTCAAATATAAATTAATTTTATAATATATTAGCATATTGTGCATATATAGGCATAGGTTAGGTTAGGTGTTTAGGTTCTGTTGGCGATTATTTGTCTTTGTAGTACGTGGGTGAACCATTTACAGGGTTGTGGTTCGAACATAATTCGTCCGTAGTGCACTTGTTCCGGAAGTGTTCGAACGAAATCAGTTGTGAGTCGTGTGTAAACCGTTTTTCATTCACAAACAGGGGGTTTGGTGGGTGCATGGAATCACTTTTGGGTCTTTGTTTGGAGGACGGGCTGAATGGACTTGAGTCGAGGACGGGTTGATTTATGAGGACGGGCTGAAATATCACGTTACAGTAACAAAACACCTGGGTCATGTTTTATAGTTTAAAGGTTCGTCGTCTACCAGAATCACTTAGGACGCGATCTACATTTAACACTGGCATGAGAGTAAACTTTAATCACAAACGGAATACAGGATAAAGGTAAACTCACCGTAAGATAAATACGTATGATCATTCACCTAAAGTAAGGTGACAATTTTAGGGAGCTCTTAATTCGTTGCAACAAAATTATAAATGTCTTATTTAGAAGCGCAGTGCACTTCAAATTGTAGTTTGAGTGGGAAAGAGTTTTTTTTTTTTTGCTAAGTTCATCATGTACCTGTGAGCTTTTTCACCACCGCTCACAGTATAGGTATATGGGGTGCATAATAAATTTACTAAAATAAACTTGGTTTGGTGTTGAACTTAAGGCATACAACCGCAATAGGGTTATTAAGGCCGTCACAATAGTTTAGTGACCAACTTGGAAGTATATTTTTGGGAGGAGCATAATTCAGGACTAAAATAACCTCTCAGTGTATATGCACCGAGAAGCGGAGTACATATTTTCCGATCTGTAACTTCTTTAAACAAAAAATAAAGTACCCAGTATATATATACGTTCACCGGAACTTACACTTGCGCAGGTAACAAACCTGTCCACTTGCGCTGGGTGACGACGAAGTAGAGGAAGGTGGTGACGATGTACACCAGGTCAGCCTCGACGTGGTTGAACTGAAGGGTGAACATGACGAGGACGAAGGACATGGCGACGCCCTTGCCCAGCCTGACCACCATATACCAGGCTGTGAGCCGGATCAGGTCCCGGACCTCTGTAGCGTGCAGGGCTCCTGACCAACGGCGAGTCTTTCGTAACACACAAACGTTAATGACTACAAATGATTATGATTGTATATTTATATATTTAATGTGCATTTTGGTCAAATATAACTTATTTATTTAATGTTAGGCTTCAGGCCTATCATTCTCTGGACACTGGCGGGTTATTAAGGACACCACATGTACTTACTGACCAACCAACAAGTGTATTTTAGTCCTGTACAGTGTCCAGGACTAAAGTAAACTCTCAGTCTATAAACTCCGAGAAGTGGGTTACACCTGTGTGTATGTCCCCTGCGTAATTATATATTAGATACACATTTGATTATATATATATATATATATATATATATATATATATATATATATATATATATATATATATATATATATATATATGTGTGTGTGTGTGTGTGTGTACAAATCCACAAGGGCCGTGATGAAGGTTCGAACCTATGTACGAGAGGATCCCAGACGAGCCTTAATCGACTGAGCTACATAATCGTAGCTCAGTCGATTAAGGCGTCTGGGATCCTCTCGGACGTAAGTTCGAACCCCTCATCACGGCCCTTGTGGATTTGTTCATTTGATGCATGCGCTATTGTGATTTCTGTGTGTAGTGTGTGTGTGTAAATCACGAAAATTAACACGTGATGAAAAATGTGAGTGTCATATCAGAGAGGAAGAATTGAAACAGGAATTTCCTTAAGTACTTTCGTATTTAAATAATACATCTTCAGAAGGAAATGAAGATGTATCATTAAAATACGAAAGTACTTAAGGAAATTCCTGTTTCAATTCTTCCTATGTGATCTGACAAAAAAAAAAAAAAATATATATATATATATATATATATATATATATATATATATATATATATATATATATATATATATATATACACATATACTGAATTTTAAATTTATTGATACTGAATTTTAGGAGTAAACATGATTTTTTTGTAACATTTCATAGACGTTTTCTTGATAACTATACTAATACGTCACTCAGACTAGGCTACAATGTTCATATATTATCTGTTCAATATTAGCTGAAATATTAATTTATATAGAAGTATATGGTGATTTATATAGAAGTATATTATACAGATGCTAACGAAAAGGGCTTTGTGGAGGTAGTGAAGGACGGTGTAGAACAGGAGGAAGTAGAGAGCCGTCAAGTGGGCGAGGGGCGTCACCAGCTGCTGCAAGAGCAGGAAGAACACAACCTGTAAGAGGAAGCAGTACACCGTCAGACGGGGCGTAGGGCTTGCCAAAATGCGTATTTCTGGTGATAGCGTTGAAGGGAACAGTTATCTGGTTGTAATGTATCGCACATCTTGTATGGATGTTTATTCCTGAGGGAGAGATTTGTACGGGAGAATGCAATTTTTGTATTTCGTACAATACATACAGTTCACCCATATCTCTTCCGTGTTGCAGTTTGGATGTATGGCATTAAGTAAAATTACTGTTATATTATTACTGTAAACAAACTGAAAACATTTATCTCAGACTGTCAATATATTAAACAAATTTCAAATCTTTACTGGTGAGAGAGAAGTGGGGGTGAGGGAGTGGATGGGTGGGGTAGAGGTGGGGAGTGGGGGGAGGGGGAAGGGTAAAGAGAAGGGTAAACGGGGTTCAGCGGGGTGACTTGGAATATCCAATGAGCTTCCTCAAAATCAAAACCCAGGCCGGGTTTGTGATGTTGTAGCCTCAAATACTATTTCATCTCCTCTATTTCTCCTCTTCTTCTGCGCTGACGGAACACTCGCCTGGTTACTGGTTGTCCTGAAGCCGTCGAAGGTGAGATAGACGCGGTGCAAGAGGCGAAGAACGCAGTAGAGGATGATGAAGGGTAACGCCAGGGCATTCAGCAGGCAGTAGAGGAACTGCCTAAAGGTATTTTGCATCCAGTGGGCAGCCCATGACACCACATATCCCAGGGACGCCGCCAGCCCGGTGTGTAGGGCAGACCTGTACAAAGGAAGATACAGATGTGCAGAGGTACATAAGTATTTCTTATTTCTTACTTTCGTTAGGTTAGGTTAGGCTTGGTGTATTTAGAGGGTAGCGACGATGTAGGGTGGCACATATTTTTCTCAGGTCTTAGACCCTGCTCGCAGGAGGGAACCCTAGCTGTGTTCGTTGCGTCACTTGTGTAGTGAAATGGAAATTAATTTCCCATTACCGGAGACAGCTAGGAGACCTGTAAAGCTTATCGAGATCCTTTGCTACAAGACCAATGACTTACCTTCCCCAGGATGCAACCCACAACAGTCGTATTACTCTAGGGTACCTAATTACTACGAGGTGAATATGATTATCTGGTATAAAGATGCCCACACGCCTCGCCTTGCCCAGGCATCGAACCCAATAGCGAATGGGTTGCGAGTCAACTGCGCCACCTCTGGTAGCGCTTCATACAGAAACACTAACCAGAGGTGTTCTTTAAACCAACCTGAACAACATACAACGATTTGATTCATCCCACCTTAAAAAAAATGTAAAATGAACCGGAGCACTTAAGTTGGAAATAAAAGGAACATTAAATTTATATTATATTCTCATGAAGGCCCAGCTCTCTCTTCTTTCCTACGTTGGTAGTAATATCCCTTCTCTCCCCCACTTCTCCTCTCCTTCGTTGGTAGTAATACCCCTTCTCTCACTCCTCTCCTACGTTGGTAGTAATTCCTTGTCTCTCACTAGCTTCTCTTCTATGTTGGCAGTAATTCCTCTTCTCTTACCCACTTTTCTCCAACGATGATAGTAATTCCTCTTTCTCTGGGCCCTTTGCGTCGTTCTTACAGCACATTCCAATTGTTATTCCATGTGCGTTTTATTCATTTTGGTATATACATTCCGTTTTAAGCCCTTTTCTGTCCATTACCACTGCTTACAAATAAATGCAGCGGTGTAGCCTAGCCGGAACCGTCAAAGCCTAGGCTACCCACCTAACCTATTGAAGCAAATATAATTATTAGGACCATGAAGCGTCAATATTGTGATGTGCTTAATTTCCCTAAACCATAGCATTATTTACGCCGGGCTCGATCGAGTAAAAAAAAAAAAAATACAGTGTGTTCAGTTAGAGAGAATTACGTCAGTGGTTTTGAAGTGATAACCTTTAGGGAGCCTCCTCTCTGAGGACAAGTTGCCAGCTACACTGTGCTGATCACAGTTTACATGTACCTGTGGTTTAGCTCAGTCGCAGCCTATACACTGTGCTGGTCTTTGTAAATGTGTACCTGTATTTTATCTCAGTTCCAGCCTATACTACCCTGCTAACTTCCAGTCTGACCCCCAAGAACATCATAATGATGTCTTGCTGATGTAAACAGGTATACCATACTAGAGTATGGTATACCTGTTTTTTATGTATACCATACTAGATTATGCTAAGTGATGATGTCAACGAGTATGCCAGTCAACTGGAGTATGCTTAGTGATGTATTCCTCAGGATCAATGTGGGGACCTTATATAACCCGCTGACTTCTTGTCCCCACTGAGGCCACTCGAGTTTTTGTCTCTCAGGTAAATTCAGGTAAACTGCATATTGTAAGGTGGTTTCACGGAGTTGCAAAAAGAGGCATGTACCTCAGAGAGGCACCGTAACAACGAAGGAGGAAGTAATGGCACACGAGATGCACCCATGTGTGTATATAGCTGCCTCAGATTTACGTATATACTTTGGGTTATCAATCGCGGGTGTTCATTAAGGCCACCACCAATGCCCACTGATCAACCAGCGTGGATTACATGTCACCAACACTAATCAAACATGGAAGCTATGGGTGAATTGGGGGCATAAATATTTTGAGCCAGTGACCTCAAATAGTGCAGCGCCCCATGGGCCTCCATCTACAGAGCAGCGGTTGCTCAAACAAATAGAGATGCTTTCGCCGTTCGATGAATCTATCACCAAGCAAAACCCTTTAACAGCTTCAGGAAGATCAGGGTCATTGGAGAGGAACTCACCGCGTGAATAATAGAGCCACCACCGCCCTTGGGAGCCAGAGGAGGGAGCCCTCGGGTAGCTGGGAGTGGAGAGCCATGGGTAGGATGACGCCGCCGTAGAGGACGGCTGCTGCAATCACCAAGATGGGTCGCGTTCTCAGCACGTAGAGGAAGTAGGGCGCCAGGACCAGCAGGAGGAGCCAGGAGTAGCCAGGCAGACCGTCGTTCCCACGCCCACCTGATGGCCCAACACTATGTTTACACCAGTACAACTGTTGCACCTCACCCCCTGTTATATTCACACCTGCCGGGACATGTTTATCCCCTGGTTACTCTGTACCACAGGTATATAGACCAGGGGTGTCAAACATCGTCCGCCGACCTTCTGTATGCGGCCCGCAACGCACTCCCTACTTCAACAGCACCTTGAGCGCCTAGTTTAAACTAAAAGTACAGCATATATATTGGCAAATCAATTTGTTTTCATCTGCTGTGTCCATTTAGATGGTATCAGTTGTTTACGAGTCTAATTAGAACACGCGACAGCTCTGAACTGTGATGTGTTTTTCCTTGGGCTGCTGCTACTAGTAACGCTAGTTCGAGGCGTTTGTAGCATTATAACTGTTAGAAACAGTATTGTGTTATTTACTTTAAACATATAATCATGTTAACAAAGAAACGAAAAATTAATGAAGAGCATCAAGCAGTACGGGAAAAGCTTGTAGTTTCTTACTGAAATGAAAAGAAAATCATGTTTGATGCGCAACGCGATGCTGCCGCCAGAAAATGCAACGATCGTAGGCATTGTGAAGCTAATTATGCCATATAACTCGTAAATATGATAAATTTACAAGTGGCATTACAAAAAGGTAAAATTAGTGAGTTAGAACAATCAATATCCATAATATACAGTTTTCATGGTCAATCACAATGGTGTTTGGTAGAAGGTCGGGGAGCTGTACTGAACCACTTCAATAAGCTGCATGGTGAAATATAGAAGTTTTTGGAACAAAGGGATGACTGAAATCCTGAAATGAATTCGAGGTCAAGCTTTCATGGTGGATATCTTAGAAAAAAATATCTGAACGAAAAAATGTAAGGATGCAATAAACTGGTGAAAGTTTTACACCTGTATTCGTGCCTACGATATGAAACTACATTTTTGGCAGGTAACTCACAGAGTTACTCACACACAACTCACCTTACACTCATTCCAACCTTGAAGTATCTGCATGACATACCCGAGTCATGCTGATACCCACACACAAACATACTGCAGCAAGATTTCTACTTTAAGGGATGAGTTTCACAAAAGATTTACGGAATTGATAAAATTTTTCAATTTTACGGAACCCTTCTTTATTAGTTTTATTGAAATACTAGGATTTCTCCAGTTGGAAATAATAGAGATACAATGGTATGTATCCGTTAAGGAAACGTTTTCGAGTGTTGATGTTTGAAAATTGTATTAATATATGGGACCAAATTATCCCAAAATGAAGTTTTTTTGTTTCAAAGATTATGTCCACGTTTGGAAACACATGTCTGAACAGCTCTGTTTCTGAAACGAATGCTAACAAATCTCGACTTCGTTCGCAACTTACTGATGCACACCTTAACTCTACACTCAAGGATGCTGTATCTCAGTCATTTGCTCCAGACTATGGTGCAATGTGCCAGACCAAGAGATGCCAATTGTCAGGAAGCAGAAATACCTGGCAATAAGGTACATATTATTATTATTATATTTACTGTACTTTACTGTATTTTACTAGTGTTCCACTCTTGCCCCTGGAGGGGGAAGGTATTCCTAGTGGTGGTCCGCATTACGTAGAATCATGAAATCTGGACCGTCATTACAAATAAGCTTAACACCCCCCTGCACTAGCCTATCCCTGAGCTGTGTCCACACCCCTAATGCTTCACACTTACAGAATAGCAAACCTCTCATGTTGTTTGATCTTAATTAGCGCGTCACACACAACACCCTCAATTACTGTTCCATTGGCAACTCAAGTGCTCAAACTGGCCAGCAGCCCCCGTGCTGCGAGAGCCTAGCCTCGCTCTCGCGCGTTATTCACTAACTCAACACAACACCAGGATAGTGCAAGCCTGGAACACATGGCGCAACACACAAAACATATGCTGGTAGGCACTGTCCCAGCATACACAACGGTTACTATTTTTTATGCTGCTACAATGTTGTAGCAATGTAATAAAGGTGTTGCAGTATTGTGTGTTTTGCTGGTTGCTACACTGATGATAGGTTCATCTGTGTGTGTGTGTGTGTACTCACCTAGTTGTGCTTGCGGGGGCTGAGCTCTGGCTCTTTGGTCCCGCCTCTCAACTGTCAATCAACTGATGTACAGATTCCTGAGCCTACTGGGCTTTGTCATATCTACACTTGAAGCTGTGTATGGAGTCAGCCTCCGCCACATCACTTCCTAATGCATTCCATTTGTCTACTACTCTGACACTGAAAAAATTATTTCTAATGTCTCTATGGCTTATCTGGGCACTCAATTTCCACCTGTGTCCCCTAGTGCGTGTGCCCCTGGTGTTAAAAGTCTGTCTTTATCTACCCTATCAATTCCTCTGAGAATCTTGTATGTGGTGATCATGTCCCCCCTAACTCTTCTGTCTCCCAGTGACGTGAGGTTTAATTCCCGTAGTCTCTCCTCGTAGCTCATACCTCTCAGCTCGGGTACTAGTCTGGTGGCAAACCTTTGAACCTTTTCCAGTTTAGTCTTATGCTTGACTAGATATGGACGCCATGCTGGGGCTGCATACTCCAGGATTGGTCTGACATATGTGGTATACAAAGTTCTGAATGATTCCTTACACAAGTTTCTAATGGCCGTTCTTATGTTAGCCAACCTGGCATATGCCGCTGATGTTATCCTCTTGATATAGGTTTCAGGGGACAGGTGTGTTCTCACCTAGTTGTGCTTGCGGGGGTTGAGCTCTGGCTTTTTGATCCTGTCTCAGTGTGTGTGTGTGTGTATGTGTGTGTGTGTGTGTGTGTGTGTGTGTGTGTGTGTGTGTGTGTGTGTGTGTGTGTGTGTGTGTGTGTGTGTGTGTGTGTGTGTGTGTGTGTGTGTGGAGAATCAAACTGACGCAAGAAATCTAGACATGGAAGCCAGATGCGTTGTTCGTGCCTCAAACCATAACAGTTGTGTTTGCTCTGCATATTAACCCACAATGAAGGAGGGATTTATAAACAAAGCTGTGTCACTAACTAGTGCATTACCAGCACTTAGAGAGGGCTGTATACTCAGAGTAGACCCTAACTCTAACACTTAACCAGCAATGAGATGCACTCACTCGGTTGTGCTTGCGAGGGTTGACCTTCACTTGGGTTGATCGGTGCAGTGATAGCCTTGCTTCTTGCAGGTCGGTGTTCGATCCCCGATGGTCCAAGAAGTTGGCCACCAATCCTTCCTTCCGTCCTATTCCTGCTACGGGTCCTCATATCCGTTCCAAGCGTCATATAGCCATAGTGGCTTAGTGCTTTCTACTGAACCTTACCTTCAGCTCTTTAATCCCGCTTCCCGGCTTTCATCGACTCTAATACTTGTTTCCGAAGCGTTTGAATCTTGTCATAAATACTTTTGAACCCGTGTATGTCCTACGAAGTCTGCCCTCACCTCCCCACTCTCTGGTTCACTAACATGGCAACGATGTTCCTCCGAATGTAATTCCCATTCGTCAGGGACAGTAAGCCTGCAGCAGCTAAGCTTATCCAGGTCCCCCCCCCTTGGCCAACTACTGATCTTCTCCAGGATGCAACTCACAGCAACACATATCTAACTCCTAGGTACCTATTTACTGCTAGGTGAGCACCGACATCAGGTGAAAAGAAACGTGACCAATCAAATAACACGAGTGTTGCCCGAGGACTGAACCCGGGTCCATCGACTGTAAGTCGAGGACGTAGACCACCATGTTGACCAAACTATACTAGAAAGTGAAGGGACGACGACGTTTCGGTCCGTCCTGGACCATTCTCAAGTCGATTCTCAAAAATCGACTTGAGAATGGACCAGGACGGACCGAAACGTCGTCGTCCCTTCACTTTTTAGTGTGTGGTTTGGTCAACATATTTCAGCCACGTTATTGTGGCTCCTCGTCTGCATATAGATCACCATGTTAGTCCAGTACTTAGTATCCACATGTTTTCCCCTCGTTCGAGTCCCGCCCGTGTCAATTAACCTACCCTCGTTTCAGTATTCAAAGAACACAAGGATAAAGGAAGCTGTAGAATGGCACAGTGGTAACACGCTCGACCTAGAGCTTCCCCCATTTGGCCTAGGTTCGTATTCTAACCGGGAAGGAGTGACTACGCCCATGTTTATCCAGCAATGATTGAGTAGCTGGTTGTTAAACGATTGGCGGGACGTATTCCAGGGGAAACTAGTGGGTATGGCTCGATATGGGATGGGAAAGCTCTCAGCCTGTTAACAGGAATCAGCAGTCGTCTGTTCATCTTGTGTAAAGCAAAACAAAAACCTCTGTCCCGAGCGATGTTGTTGTTGTTATAGATTCAGCTACTCGGAACAAGTTCTAAGTAGCACGGGCTATGGTGAGCCCGTAACTTACCTGGCACAGGACCGGTGCTGTGGTCCCGGGCGAGGCAGCTCGTGTTTTTAATCGACCGCTCTCACTTGTGCATTCACCTAACCTGTCCACGATGGTCGTCGCCCCTATATCAACACAACACCTAACCTGTCACTCCCACTCTCTTTAGCATCTTTCCTGTAGGCTCAGTGTACAAGAGCAACGCCAATTCAACGCCGAATCAGCGTTGATTCAACGTTCAGCTCACGTTTATGAAGTTGAGTCAACGTCGAGCCAACGACACGTTTGGCCAGTGTGCCCACTGGGGCGGAACTCCCAAAATAGTTTTGCATATACCGAGGAACCGTCAATCGTTTTAAACATACCTATATAAATATATATATTTATTAATAAACATTTATTGATTTTTGCTATTTTTTGTTTGTTGTATATTTTTTGCGGAACTTCCGAGGAAGGTTCAGTACGGAACCCCTGTTGTTGAACACTATCGTAGCCTGTGCCTGAAACTTGCAGTGAGTTTGTTTCAGTGGTGTAACTATGTAGCCTACTCCACAGATTTGCATCCATATTTCCGAACCAATGTTTACATATTTGTTTTATATTAGTATATTTTGGTAGCAGTCTTTCTTGTAAACATATGTTGTTGAATATGACCGTAAACATATGTTGTTGAATATATTGAATATGAATATTACCACCGACAGTGAAGAAAAACATAAGAAATATTGAGAAGATTCGTGTTAGAACTATTTGTTTTATATATATAAACATCTTTATTTGAATCAATTACTTCGTGTTCTATAATGGAAAAATATATTTAGTATTATTTTGGTTCATTTGATCTGTTCCTATAACTCATGCCTCTCAGCTCTTCAACTAGTCTGGTGGAATATCCAGTTCCGTGTTGTGGTTGGGTCCAAGACTTGAGCAGCAGCACTAAGGGATAAGGGATACACGTGCAGAAGAGGCACTAACCCGCCCTTATTCCAGCCATGGATGAGAGCCCGGGCAAGACGAAGCAACAGGCGGGAGATGGAGAAATAGTTGGTGACGGCGGGAACGAGCAGACAGCTGTAAAGCAGCACCCCGGCCAACACCCGCCCTACGCCCCACTCCGGCACCAACAGCGGCGCCAGCAGCACCAGAGACAGCAGACAACCTGTCGGGAAGACATCAGAGCATAAGAAGGCACCCCTGTTCCCACCCGCTCCGCTCATGCCCTCTCACTAGCAGCAGCGCCAGTATCACTACAGACAACAAAAACCTTATTCAACCCAGCCAGAACTGTAGCAATGTTTACAAACTTTGCAGGAATAACGTATCTAACCCGGGCCTCACCTGCAGTGCCGTGTCTGACCTCTTGCTGGAATACAACGGCTCGCCAGCGGCCCGGGTTACGGTATGGGGAAGGCAGCGGCATCTCTCTTTACGCCCATACCTGCCCACGCCCGCCGCCCACGCCCTTCGTGCCACCGATCTGAGAAAAGGGGGGAGCAGATGGTCGTGCTAATCAATCATGAAGTTCATCACGTCACACTTGTGTGTGTGACGCGACAGTGGAATGTTGCTATTGAATTTATTGCTATCGGGAAGGAGCAATGATCAACTCACTAGGCAACGGGGAAAAATTGATTGATTTTGTATTTTATATTAGATATGACAGCAAGTTGGTGCTACCCATGATATGATGTTGGTCATGTATTCACTATGTATTCACCTAGTTGTGCTTGTGGGGCTCTTTCGGCCCGCCTCTCAACTATCAATCAATCAACTGCTGCTAACTACTAATTTTTTTTCCACACACATCCCCAGGAAGCAGCCCGTAACAGCTATCTAACTCCCAGGTATCTATTTACTGCTAGGTAACAGGGGCATCAGGGTGAAAGAAACTCTGCTCATTGTTCCTCGCTGGGGCCGGGAATCGAACCCGGGCCACAAGATTACGTGTCCAGCGTGCTGTCCACACAGCCACTGGAGTAACCATGTGATCACGTCAGTATATAGACAATTCTTAAACCTTCAAACTGAGCCATGCATGGCAGCTATCCTGCAAACTGAACCATGCATGGCAACCATCCTGCAAATTACCTCTGATGAATCGATATTGATCGCAAAGCACTAGTTAAAATTTTGGTTGCAAGGATAACTCTTAATAGTAGAAACATTTAGGATAACACTTAATAGTAGGAACGCTTAGGCCTACACCGTGTGTAGGCCTAAGTGTTCCTTCACGTACTTTGTGATCAACCATAGAAAGGAGAGAGACAATGTGCTTTTTAGGATTGAAAACATCAGAAAAAAATTACTGATAATAAAAAACCTACTTTCCAAAATAATAGAGAATATACTTTGAATCTGGATTTCTTATACACAAAGTTTAAAGCCTACACCCACGGACCACGGTTAATATAGCCGCTATAATAGTTACCGAGAGGTAGGGTATACTTCTCCATGTGTATATCCCGTTGATATAATTTGAAGATTTATTATTATTTTTACACAAATACAGAGCGCGTTGTATACACATTATGCATTCATGAGTGATGTGCCAAGTACTGCATTCAAGGTCGAACGTCTACTGCATTCATTTTGAATTCGTTTTACTCGATTGTTAACGGTTGTCTGTTTATTCGTGCTGCAGTTTAAGTTTCATACATGAATCACCCAAATATATTGAGATGAAATACATAGCAAGACACCTGTGCTGAGACATTAAACCCATTCTCTAGTGCATTACAGAAATCGTTTTCTTTGGATAATCATTGACTGTTCTCTTGATCTAATCAAACTGTGTAAATGCCTTAATTCGCACTCAGAGAGACTTGTCAGCGCCTGTGTCCATATCCAGTGGGTTGTGTGGCTAAAACTACAATGCTCTAAACATTCCTGGTTCACAAAATACAAATATTACCTTCAGAGAAATGGGAAAAAACTTGGCTGGCGGTCGGCAAGGTTCAGGAGTTGCCAGTATGTAAATAAGCAAGTCCTTCACTCAGGTTCGCTGGCAAGCTGTGTGGACGATTTGACTGCAGCCATCAACAAGGTCAACACTGCTCAGAAGGTCACGACCCCCCCAGAGAACACTAAGCCTCGGGTCAGAGGCAGAGACACAGCGACAGACCTCGCCACACTCGCAATCTTCACTGCCAACATGCAGCTCTTCTCAAAGTCACTACGCACTCTTAATGCTCTTATTCCTCTCCCTCAAACTTCGTTCAAAACAAATATTACATTACTACGCCACAACTCTTGTCACGTGTTATATTCTTAATAGTTTATAAAATCTGGAGATCCTTACGAATGTGCATATATAAACAGAAACAGAAGAGCTGCCCAGGCAGTGTATATGCTATATTTAGCATTCCAAGCTACCTAATTCCACGAGAATTTCCCCTGTGAGTCAGATTTTCCCACTTATTTTCGCCTATGTTGTTGTCCTCGTAAGTCTTTCCATGTTACCCTATTGTATCATTCAGCTCCAAACTTGTCATACAAAGGCAACACTTGACCATATTTACAGAGGAATATAACAAATGCTTTCATTATCTGTGCTTACTTGTGACTAGCGTCAAGTTATCTCTCTTTTCTATCTCTCTATCGTTATCTCTCTATCGTTAATCCCCGTGATTAACGTTACACACTTCCTTACTTGTCCTCTTTTTTTCCATTTACCTTTCTCTCTTCTTCTTCATCTACCTTCCTTTTATAGTGTAACTAGCTCGTCAAGACTGTAACTCGCTTAGTTAAATGAATTTTAGGGTTCAGTCCGTGAGTCTATTATATGCCCCCTGTAAACAGCCCACTTCCGCCCACAGGATAGGTATGGGGTGCATAATAAATGAACTAAACTAAACCTTTCTTTTTTCCTTTACCCCCACCCCCCTTCCAGGTCATTTCCTTTTTACCCTCCCTGTTTGATCTGTTCCTTCTTACCGTCCTTCTCTCTGTCTCGGGGGATAGGGGAAATGGGAGGGGAGGGGAAGGTGTTGGAGAACGGGAGAGGAAGGAGAGGCGAGAAGAAAGGGGGATTGGTGGAAGAAAAGAGGACTGAAGATTAGAGTAGGGAGCTGGGGGGGGGGGCGGGAGGTCTTTAATTCGTTACACTAATTCAGTTTCATCTTTCGGGCAAGAAGGGCGTAAGACTATAATTCCTCAAGACAAGAACGGTTTATGTGGCTTTGTATTGTATCTAATTTGGTTATAGATGAGGCTGTGTACATCTTATAGTTCTCATAGTCGGGGGCAGGAAGCTTGTATGCATAGGCTTACTGAGGTCTCCCTAGGGCAAGTACTGCTGACCTTCCCCAGGAAGTAACCCACAACTCCCAAGTACCTACTTACTGCTAGGTGAGAAGAAGCATCAGGTGAAAAAAAACGTATCCAATCGTTTCTGCTCGGCCAGGGTATTAAACCTTAATATCAGGGTATTAAACCCTGGGCCTTCGATTGTGAGTTGAGGATGTAGACCACTGTGTTACAGAATCCAGTAAAAAAAATTCGTTACATCTGTCAAAAGAAAATCAGTTGTATAGATCTTTATTTTACACAAGACGACTTCTGACTCTTGTTAGCAGGCTTAGTATTCTTCCTTTCATATCCTAGTTTTCCCTGGAACACGACCCGTCAGTCGGTTTACATCCAGGTCTCCAATTACTGTTGGGTGAACAGGGGCGAAGTTACCAACAGTTATAGATTGTTTCTCACCCAATTCTACCTACCCAGAACTCGAACCCAGATCGATATCACTCGAGAAATCCTGAAAATCGTATCATTCTGTAAGGTGAGAGATTGTTAGCGGAAAACAGCAAATATGACAGTAAGTCGCTGGTCCCACGAGCTGCTCTTCTGTTTCGGTGATAGGAGGGAGGCCAAAGGAAAGGGTCACATTTGATAGTAAGTAATTTGTAACTTATCTAACCATCAAGCAATTCAACTGTTAGGGGTAGCTTTATGCAGTGTAGTTTGTAGAATACGTACAGACCAGCCACATCTCTGCGTTGGAGAGTCTGGATGCTCTTCAACACAAAGACTCAATGTCTCCATCGTTGGAGTCTTAATATGCTTGCATTGGATCAGGTACATTAAGCTTGTTTCTGACTAGGTGTTCGACCATGTCTAGAGAGTCATGTGATGATTCTAGCAAGAGGGAGCAAAGTTTACATGGTCCGTAAGACCGAAAGCGGCTTATATATAGTTCATTGCTCGTGTCACTCGGTGTTGTTCATGTTTTCCACAAGGATGAACTGTTAACATTTGTTTTGTTATACAAGCTCATCTAGATGCTTCAATACAGTAATGTTCACTGCCTTGCCACTGAGAGCGATAGTTTACGCAGAAAAGTATCAATTTCTGGGCCATTGTCCACAGCCTAATGTTTCTGGGAAATTTCTCTTCCAAGAGTTGCGTTTAAAGTGTATCAGGAAAGTAGACAGCACCATCTCCACCAAATTGTCTTTCTTTCTTGTGCCATTTAGTGCATTCTGTGAATCGTCCTAAATTCCTTGGAGCCGAGTCATCAAGGAAAGTTTCGACGTTTCCCACTATGTCAGCTTTGGCAGGTGTTACGTAGTCATGTTAGGCCTCCAATGTTTCTTCTGAACCCGCTGATGTTAGAATGTTGTTTTAGATTTAGCTACTCAGAACGAAGTGTCCATGTAGCACGGGCTATGGTGAGCCCGTAATGATGTTAGTAGAAACAACAGTCTTATATACTGCTTGACATTATTATACTAGTGATGTACGGTATTATTATTGTTATCATTATTATTTTTATCATCATTATTATTGTATAATATTATTATATCACCATTATGACATATTATAATAATATTCAGGCACAAAACCTTTTCTTTTTATTTTATTACATTCTTAGTATCTCTTTTAGTACATTTGGCTTTCAAGTGCTTGATGAACTAACTTTGAATCACATGAAATCACCTATTATATTTAGTAGGTAATTGTAGTGCAGCTAATTCTGTGTGTGGCACTAAGCCAGTTTTAATTTTGCTCCAAGGGGGCGAGTTTATTGGGCAGCGCCATTCATCCTGTGAGTAGACACAAATTATTAGCTGGTACATTGCAATTTATATTATATATATATATATATATATATATATATATATATATATATATACATACATATACATAAGGTTCATTGAGTTCATTGAGTTTATGAGAGTACATAGTATTGTGTTTACATTATTGTAAAGCCATTAGTACGCACAGCGTTTCGGGCAGGTCTTTAATCTAACAGATAATATTAAGTAGGTAAATTATAGTAATTTTTATAAAATGTTAGCAGGTACATTGTAAGAAAAACTTGAGAGAGATTAGTAGGTATATTAAGGAACATTGATAGCAGTGATAGCTTGATTGATAATTGGACAAAGATTAATAGGCACAATAAAGCATATTGATAGCACATATAAGATGACAGCAATGATCACAATGGTAAAGTTGTATGGCTTAGGTACATAAATATTGGGGGAATGGGTAGCAGTAGATTGGATGATGTTAGCAGCACTTCTACTCACCCAGTTTGTATATAGGTTGCTTTCTTGTGTGTCAGCACGCAAAACACCGCTCCTGTGCCAGGTAAGTCCACTACGGGCTCACCATAGCCCGTGCAGTATACGACTTGACCAGTCCCCCTCAAGAGTTAAGAACTCTTCCATTAACTATACAGTATTCCAGAGTATTACTGCATTATGATACCTTGATATTCATATAAATATTATTAATCATATGAGAAGAATGCTTTAGATCTAATATATTAATGAAAGTTGTTTATAATTGCGGTAAATATTAACCAAACAAGGTGAAATTATGAAGACGGAGGCGGCTGCGACGTAAACAAGCCATGATGGAAGAGAGGCAAGGTTTCCTGCTGCTGTGTCTCCTCGTGTTTCTCTCGTCTTTGGCGTGGGGAAAAAAGTTCGAGGGAGAAGAGAAGCCGGCCTGGGCCAAGAAGGACATTAGAGACTATAATGATGCCGATTTGGAGAGACTACTGGATCAGTGGGAGGTAAACCGTGGCTTTGATGTTTCCCATATTAGTCAACTTTTCGTTCACTTTAAGATTTGTTGGATATTGCTGCACTAGATGGAATGTGACGACTTGTACTGAATTTTGTAACTAGCTCATCAAGATTGTAACTTGCTTTAGTTAAATTAAATGTTGGGCCTGACTTCTGTAACCCTTTCCACTACCGCCCACTAGATGGGAATGGGGTGCATAATAAGTGAGCTAAACTAACTAGATGCCTAAGCGTGCGTGCACACACACTATATATAATATATATATATATATAACATATATATAATATATAATATAAAGAAATATATAAATAGGGCAAGTAATTAAATATCAGGTGCCAAGCCGAGAAAACTAAATAGCACAGTTTCGCTGTAAATAAAGCTACCGGATGCTGTTCGTATCTAATTAAGATCACTAATGATCACCAAATGTGAAGAGATTTAGGAGCTATGTTTGTTGTCTTTTGCTTGGAAAGTGGGAAGGGGAAACAACTAATATAAATATAGGTTAGGTTAGAACAGCTTAACTTGGTAGTAGTATTTGTATAAAATTACATTTACCATAAGGCGAAAGGAAATTGTTCATTGTATCTTCATGATTTTTTAGATAATAGTTACTTGTGTGCATTGGTGAATTGTTTTTTCCCAACACTGTTATAATAATATTGTTTGACAGGTGTTTGTAGCAGATAATTTAACCAGTTGAAAATAGGTTCCTTATTGCTTGGCTAGCATATTACATAAAGCATATTGACTAACTAGGATGTAGTTTCCAAAGTTGATACACAGCAATTGTGCATATTTGCAACTATTAATGATTATAACATGATTTCAAATTAATACTTTCAGTGTTTAATAAAATTAGTGTAGCTAGGATAACTACCATTTTGGAACCACTAGAATTGGGAAAACTTGTACAACTTGCTGGAAAAAAAAAATTATTTATTTAAAATAATACATTTTTAAGAATTAAGTGTTTAATGTTGATATTGTACAATGCCATGATTAAATCCAGAGCTGGTATTCCACATTGTGTTTAATTTTATTGATGTTGATCTGTTGGTAGAGAAAAATATTGCCATTAATATTTTGGTAATAATCGTTTTTGGGACGCATCCTTTGTGTGACTTAATTTAGAGGTGTGTGGCTGCTGTGATGCAGCACTTGTACATTACCTGCATTAACACTAAAGTGTCTTTTATTAGGTGAAGATACAGAATTAAGGCTTTTGGCTATTTCTTTTTGTTGTAAATTAGCGAGCTGAATCTTTTTTATATAAGATAGTGTGTGTGTGTGGAAAATTTATCGTGAATATTTGGGAAACTCGGAACTTTATCTAATCGCTTTTATTGTACTCGCCTAGTTGTGATTGTGGGGGGTCGAGCTCTGGCTCTTTGGTCCTGGGAGGACTACAGATTGGTCCTCCATCTTCTTTGGTCCTGAGATTGTATAATATTTGCTATGCAGATATATTTTCATATTTATGCAATTTATAAATAATTAGTGAATTTAAATTTCATGCCTTCTGTATGCTACATTGTATTGAGGACTTGGCCTTTTTATTTTTTTGTTTTTTTGTTTTTATGTACATATTGTATTCACTTGATTAGCTATACTGTAATTACTGTATAATGAATGACTGGGCACAATATCTAAGAGTGGTCCTTGTTTGATATTTGAATCTATGTTGATAACATTTTGGGTTGCTCTTGCTCTTCAATAGTGTTCCTACTGAGAGATGATTCTTGGAGACAGCCATCTCTCTTGTAGATACATGTAGAGTACTGTAATGTGTTAATGGAATAATTGACTCGTGTACTGCATATTGTCATTTTCATCTGATCTTTGATTTACTATGTTGACAAATTAGCAAATTGTTCTTGCTTTTATTTTTATTTTTTTTCAGCTCCTCGGAATTGAAAAAATTGTAGTTGCCTTATCAAGTACAGTATTAACCACCACCTCCTCCTGTTTAAGTGATATTACGTCAGCTGTTGATTACTGCTTATTTAGTTGTTAGGAAAGGGATGACTTTTGTATATTGCATTCCCTGCTGTCCTGATTCAAGACAAATTGGTAGTATGTTGATTAGGCATGATTTGTGTTGCTCTAGCCTGTCTCTACCTTGGGTAGCAGTTTTCCACAGGTGTTCCCTGCTAGAGTATACTGACCACAGGAAAGTGCTTGCAGAATGAATTTTAAATTTAGTTTAAACCTAATGGACTGTATCTATAGATCATTTGAAACTTGCTTTTATACTGTGTAAGTTTCATTACAGTATAGTATTATAATTGTTGTTCTGAAAATTACCTCTACCTATGCATACTAATGTACATCTATACTGTGCTTCATCTAGGAAGATGAGGAACCATTGCCAGACGATGAGCTACCTGAGCACCTCAGACCTCGGCCTACAATAAACTTTGATCCCTCAAATATTGGGAATCCGGAAGAACTGTTAAAAATGAGCAAGAAGGGCCATACACTTATGATGTTTGTACAAGTGAAGGATGAGTTGAGTCCTGACAGGGCGGAAGAAATTACAAAAATTTGGCAGGGTTCCCTTTTCAACAACCACATACAAGCAGAGAGGTGAGCACATTATTTTTTCTCTACACATTACCTGAGGATTACAGTTTTAAGTGGCCTAGAGATGGGAAGGTGAATTAAACAAGGACTTTTACTTTTATGGTATTTGAGTAGGTGTTTTTATGATCCTTTTTTATTTATTACTTTAGACATAGGCAAGTTTATGCACATTAGCTCTAGTATAACTTGGATGAAAGACTGTGATCACCAATTTTTTTCTGGTCTTGATAAATCTGTGCAAAATCAGCAATGACAGTTTCAAAACTATGTTCTTATTGATGACCAAATCACACATCAGAAGATGAAGAAACAACGACGTTTGTCTGTCATGGACCATTATGTAGTCATATGTTGGGTCCAAAATGTCATTTCTTCATCTTCTAATGTCTGGTTTGGTCATCATATATTTAGTCACGTTATTGTGACTCGTCATCTTGTTCAAAATTAAATTAGTTTTGGGCTTGTGTACTGGTTTAGTGTTGAAATGATTGCTTTTGCTCCTGCATGGTTCCCTTTTTGCCAAGTACTTTACTACGTACTAGTATATAATTTTAATAATTCGTTGTGTCGGGGGACAGGAAGTAAGTGTGTGTTCATACACGTTTTGGCTTTTATTGTAGTCCCTATCCAACAAAGGCCGAATTACTGACCCTGCCTAGGATGTAACCCCACAACATGCTATCTCCTGAGTACATGTAACTACACACTGCTAGGTGAACAGAGGCATTAGGTGAAAGAAAATGTGCCAACTATTTCTGTCCTGCCTGGGATTCGAACCCGGAATTCTCGATTGTGTGTCAAGAATGAACCCGACTGTACTGCCGGGCCATATGGTGGTGGTATAAGAGATGGCTTTTATGGATTAGTAATTTTTATGGGAAATTTATAATTTTAAACTTTCCCTTTAATGAAAAAAATGTTTTTCCTTAAAGGCAGCATGGTAAGGGGGGCAAAAATTTGCTTCGATATAAGCATTTAAGGCTTGCACATAAAAGTTGATTTACTGGGAGAAGTACTGCATGTGTGTGCACTGTTCCTTCCATGCCTTGACTGTTGTCTTGAATCACAAGCTTGCTGTCTAACATTGCTAAGCAATGAAGTTGTACTGAATATAGTAAGAAAAATTGTATATCATAAATTTGAATTTCAAACTTTCATGTTTATTTTATGATGTATTATTTAAAAAGCTGTACAGTACCTGCAAAAAATTAACAAGCGTTTTTTATTCCTCAAATATGTAAAGTAAGGATAATAGAATTATGGCAGTTGGACCACACCAATTACAATTTTTGTTCCTTGATAGTAAGTGTTAAATTCTGATGGCTTATGCCACCAAAAGTATAGAGAATGTCTACTACTCCTTGATATGGCCTTATCTGTAACTGGGTTCTTTTGATACTCGCTTCCTAGTGATCCTTCTCAAGCCCTTGCACCAGTAACCCCAGTGAAGACACATTAACACATCTAAGGTAAAGTGAATAACAATGCAAAATAAAAACTTTTGATTATTATTAATTACTGTACATTGTACAGTAATGCTAAATGCTAAAGTACCATATGCTAAATGTTTTGATGGAATGTGAGGACAGAACCCACACACAATCACTTGTTGGTATCTTCGGTACTAAGCTTCTATACAACAAAATCAGAGTCCAAAAAGCAAAGGGAAATGACTACCATTGCCAGTCATTTATCACTCTTGGCAAATACTTCACTGGACTATTAAATGAATTCCAGTAACAGCACTTCACAAGCAAACTCCATTAACACTACATTAGCACGCTCCAGGATCAACGTCACTTGGAGCTCCATTATCATGCTGACAAGACATCCTAGAATCGGGCCATGTTTCTCCCTTAACAGGACATCTTGCAGTTGACTGACTTGCTGCTTGACCACCCCCCCCCCCTTTTTCTCTGCTGCCATTCACCAGTGCCTCACGTCAACTCTCGTCCTTGCAGAGTAACAGACTAGTGATCAAAATGTATCAAGAAGAGGGTATACCTCACCAACAGTGGTACACAAAACAATGATGGTGCTGAAAAGGGATTGGTCCCAAACCTTAGATGAAGGTGGCATTTGTCACATTTCCTCTCAAACTTTCCTCTGACCTTTGCTTAAGACAGCCTTGGGGAAGCTACTTGATAGCTACCAACTCCTAATCTAGAGCTATACAAAAAAAAAAATTGTCACTGTGGCTGCTAAAGAAAGTTGTTGGGGTAATCAACTTGGGTAAATAATTTAAATAATAAAAAATAAATAAATAAATAATAAAAAAAATAAATGAATAATAAAAAAATAATTCGTAATTCTGTGGCGCGGGTTCGATTCCCGCACGAGGCAGAAACAAATGGGCAAAGTTTCTTTCACCCTGAATGCCCCTTTTACCTAGCAGTAAATAGGTACCTGGGAGTTAGTCAGCTGTCACGGGCTGCTTCCTGGGGGTGGAGGCCTGGTCGAGGACCGGGCCGCGGGGACACTAAAGCCCCGAAATCATCTCAAGATAACTCAAGATAACCTCAAGAAATGAAAATGGGTAGAATCTGGCAAAGTTTCGGGATTTCCCCGAGAAATCTAGAAAATAAGAGGGAACGGGCAAGATGTCCTGAACTTTAAACTGGTCGTGGAAATGTGCATCCTATGTAAAATATTAGAGAAAATGGTGAATAGTTTAGCATCTTGATGTGAAAAAATTATGTAATGGACTGCATGGTTTTCAAGGGGAAAAGTCATTTATGATGAACTTGATGCATAAGCAGACTGGAATGCTTGGTAGACAATAAATTGGACAAGATGAAGTGAACAGGAGAGTCCATACATGTTTGTGTTTGCTGACTACACAAATTAACAAATACAAACTGAGGAAGGCTGTAAATTTGTGCAGTAAACCTTGAACTACAAGAGTGGAGACAAGTGGCTGCAGTGACATGCCAGGTGACTCCGAAGCTCAAACAAGCTATTGGGAAAGTGGCTGGCTTTTTGTTTAATGCAAATAAAGCTCTTGTATTATACTACAGTACAGTATGTTGGTGTTTGTTTCCTAAAATATTTAGAAAATTTAATTTTCCTACGATCCCTTTAGTTTCTCCTATTAAACTTTTCAGAAGTAGAAATTTAATTTTTGAGCACTGGAATTGAGAGGCTACTAGTTGGGAGCAAATTTGTTCTCTTCAGAATACATTTTTCATGGGTTTTTAAACTAATCTCTATTACTTTTCATGCAACACCTTGGAATAAAAAATGGCAAAATAAGAATTGTAAAATTAGTTTTTTTAGACTTGTCCATTATTACCAGTTTATATCCCTCTTTTTTTTTTTTTTTTTTTTGAGATATATACAAGAGTTGCTACATTCTTGTACAGCCACTAGTACGCGTAGCGTTTCGGGCAAGTCCTTAATCCTAAGGTCCCTGGAATACGATCCCCTGCCGCGAAGAATCGTTTTTTCATCCAAGTACACATTTTACTGTTGTGTTAAACAGAGGCTACAGTTAAGGAATTGCGCCCAGTAAATCCTCCCCGGCCAGGATACGAACCCATGACATAGCGCTCGCGGAACGCCAGGCGAGTGTCTTACCACTACACCACGGAGACTGCTTGGATTGGTCCAAGCTCCTTACACATCTTGGGCTAACTCCCGTTTGTCTTTGACTGTTCTTCCCAGCTTGCTAGTTCCCGTTAATTTGTCTGCTTTCTATTATTTTATAATTTGGAGAGTGACCAACTGCTTGCATGACTTCATGGCTTACTCGACTGTTCACATTTCTCAGCAATGATAGTAATTTACTTGTTCAAATGCATGTAACTTTATTTTATTATAATTTATTTATGGAGTTTTATTAAATAAGACACACTATTTAAACTCTTAGCCCTTGAACTAATAAAAATGAGTTTTTCAGATATATGGTTGATAAACGACGAGCAATTTTCATGTTCAAAGATGGTGCTCAGGCATGGGAGGCTAAAGACTTCTTGATAGAGCAGCAGGAGTTGAAAGAGTGTTCACTAGAGAATAAGGTGTACCATGGACGCTTTACACCCGAGGTGAGTCTGTTGACATGGTTTCTATAATGCGGATTTTTTATAATTTGGGGTTATCCCTACAATGAATGTGTGATGGTGCAAGGAAGGTTCTATTATTGGTTTAAGTAGCCCTTTGGTATAATAGCAGAGGTTGAATTTTGTATAATGTGTTAAAGTGCAAATTTTAATACATATTATCTATGTAGAATCGTCAATTTATACACTTACGCTGAATCTAGGGGATGCTCCCAATTGATTAACGACATAACAAAAGTGTCTTAATTACACAGGCAGTTACTTACACTGTAATTGTTTTTTTTTTTTTTTTTTTTTTTTTTTTTTGTTACACAAAATTTAAAGAAAATATTTTTTGTTTAATTCTGAAGTTAGTGTATTGGTCTTGTAAACCCCTCAATTTCTGAACAAATATTGCAATTGCCTGAGCTAGTTCACCTGTACTGGATATATTTTGGTGGAAAAAAAACAAAATTGGGGTTTGGGGATACTAGGCAACTCTATTTCTTTTGTTATGCCTTTCATAACCTATAACACTTTGCTTTTCTTCAGTTTATTTTATAAAACTTTAGTTATTTCACCTAGTTAGTTGACCGGTACCCTTTGCTGTCAACTAACAACAACTAAATGCAACTAACTTGGCTATCGGCACCGATACCAACACCAAGAGAGTTGTTCTGAATTATGACTAACTTAAAACTACTTAATGCTGCCATCACCTTCGCCTTTGATGGAAAGGAGTACTTTGCGGTGACTGACAGCAAAGGGTACCGGTCACAGAGTTGATGTTAATTACTCTAGGTGGTGGTGGGCACTGCACCTGAAAAGTTACCTAGTGACATATCACTGAATATCTACATTGGCACAAGGGGAAAAGAACACCAATCATCAGTCCCCCTGGTGTAGTAGTAATGACGCTACGCGTGCAAGTGGTTGTACAAGAATGTAAGAACTTTTTGTGTGTGTGTTATAAAAAAAGTAGATTTCCACTATTCAATGGCATCCAAGTAATTCTAAAGCACTTTTGATAATTACGGATGGGTTTAAGATAATTTAATGTGTGAATATTGTAACCACATCTTGGGGAAATGCCCACAGGATACCTGGGCCTGACAACTCTCTGAATAAATAAGCAGGAACGAATGGACACTCCAGATGGACAGTTTAATATTATAAGTTTATTTAATTAGTTTCAATATCGGAATCCTAATCCAAGGCAATTAACACTTGTGATGTTAGAACATAAGGGACCAGTCACTCAAGATACAGCAGTGATGAAGCTTCTGTGTAGACACCAGGTCGTTAGTATCCCTCCCCGTGATGCTTAGACCCCAGACTCCTGTCTGGTCTGAGACACGGGACACACACACTCTCTGGCTGCCTGTAACCAGTTGCTGTTGTTGTTTTAGATTTAGCTACTCGGAACGAAATGTCCATGTAGCACAGGCTATAGTGTAACCAGCTTCGTCTCCAGCTTTTATATCCCTAAATCCATAATTTTCCGTTGAAATAACTTCTTGGAAAAAGGAATTAGTCTGCCAACCTTTGAAACTACCTGAGGTGAGGTGTTATGACTTTACCTTGCTTCCCTGGGAAAGTCTTGTAAGTCAGATACCCTACAATCTCCACTCAAATAACTTCAACTGTTACAAACCTTGTAATTTTCTGGATAAAGACTACCTGCTTGATGGGGTTCTGGACGTTCTTCTACTCCCCTGACTTGAGAGCTTGGTCTAACAGGATGTTTCTTGGAGTAGCCTGCAGGCCCATATAACCACCACAGCCTGGTTGGTCCGGCACTATACCAGCAATTTGTCCACAGCAGAATGTCAAAGGTCAAGTTTAAATTAGTACTGTTGAGTACAGGCATTCTAAAGTTAACTATAAGAGTTAAATCATACCTTTTTTAACTACCTCAGTTTGGCTTTGTTTGTTCCTGTTTCTCTTGCATTGCTCTGTCATAACATGCCCTCAGTTTGGCTTCCCTGTCTTTTTCATCCTTTTTAATACATTGAATTAAACTTCAGGCCGTGCTATACCATCTTGATAGTTAAAAGCTTCAGGGTTTTGACTCCTACATGGTCATTTTCTTATTCTGTCTATCCTAGCTTCACACATGCTTCCTGGCTTCTCCAGTAGCTGCGATCATTTTTTTGCTATTCACCTAAGGTCCATTGATATATTAATATTGACCACTTTTCTATTCCAACACTGGAATTTTGCTGGCTCCAATTTTTCATGCTTTCTCCTTTAACATGCATTGGTTTTAATTGTAAGTATAAGAGATATTGTGAACTTCTCAGTCATGTCAGATATTCATGGAAATTGACTTCTTAGTTCCTTCTTTAACTGCTCTGTACGTGGTGTTCAACCACTACACAAACACACATGAAAGAACAAACCAATGAAAGTGAACATTTGTTTATGAAGGGGCTTAATTAATTGAACCTCGCACTCGAGCCAGAGTTTGGCTCTTGGGCTCGGGTGAGAGCATTAATGTGTTGCATTGAGTTGAAGAGTTTAAACTGTTATTTTCCATTGTAACTTTTCTCCTGCGGGACACTTGTTTTTTTCTCCTCTCCCTTCCTTCATAAAATATTTGTATGTGTTTAATATGGCAACTGCTTGTGCAAGACAGACTATTATTACTGTGCAAAACAGACCATGATATTACTAGCATGATGTTAGTAATATACATGATATTACTAACATGATGTTAGTAATATACTTTATTAAGGCCTGTCGGCCGTCTATCACTCCATCATAGGAGGACGTAATGTATGGGGGGTTTGATAGGGCTGGTATATTACTAACATGATGTTAGTAATATACATGATATTACTAACATGATGTTGGTAATATCATGGTGTATCCACCCAGCTTTTGCACATGGTATAGTATAATAGTATAATATTTGAGGCTTAAAGACTCTAATTTTTTCAGGGGAAGGTTGCATATGGGGATACTGAAACAAAGAAGCCCAAGTCTAAATCCAAGAAAAAGGAAGAGCTATAATTATGGTATTTATAATGGTCTAGATGTTTTGATCTGTTTGCAAATTTTTTTTCTTAATGAATGATTCTGATGTTTCATCTTTCTTAGTTCACCATTATTCTCATTCATGCTTAGTGCTGTTAAAGTATTTTTGATCATCGGCTCTTAATAAAGATTTTTTTGTATGGCGGTTGTCCATATATGACGAGTGTTTATTGATAATTTCTTCCAAAAGTTACGTTTTAATAGTAATTTAACAATTATGCATGTTTGTGGGATTTCTCGCATTACATACAAATCTTTAATGTGATTTTTGTCTTTTGGCAAAGTGGTTTAGGTTCATAATTTGTAACTTTGTGAAAATGACAGATAGGGGTATGTTTGTAATAAAGAATTTAATAGATTTATCTTTAAATGACCCTGTAGGATGTATATTTGATATTGATTGTCTTCCAGAAGTGACTTAAGGTTGCTGCAAGGAGGAGAAATTATAACATTTGGCTGATACGATACTTCCATATAAAGTATTATTTAATTGTGAATTTTTTGGTGAAAGAAAACAATTACTGTATTGAAATTCAACATAATATGGATGTTGCACCACTTGTGCTGTTGGCAGTAAATGGAAAGTTGCTTGTAGATATGAAACTAGTCTGGCAGGTGTGAATCTAGTTATGTGCTATTCATGTACACACTAATGATCATAAAATGTCTTGTCATCAACCTGTTTCCTGGCATATAATGTGTACATTTTCCAAGGTTGTTTTGTAGGGATAAAAACAATTTTCAATAAATATTTAATTATATACTTGTTAAATATTTAAGTGGGCTTTGTAGGGCTGGGAAGAGAACATGTTTTGTGCATTCAAATACAATTGAAAATTTGGACAAGATAGCCTATTTATAGTGAAAACAGGAACTGCAGACATTGGTAGAAGTTAGAAATGCTAGAGAGTTCTTGGAATTATTAAGTACTGGTACACTGTATGGTAGGCCTACCTGGATTGTGATGTGCAGCCCTTCGATATTTCTTTTGACTGATATGCCAGAATGAAGTACTGTATATTATAATTGGAAATATTAAAGGGTTTGGAAAAATAATATATCTAAAATGGGAAGTAGTTAATAATGGATCTTGTGATTCCTTGAATACCAAGGTAAGGGCAGTGAAGAAATTTTCTGGTCTTTCTACCATTTATAAGTTGACCTCCATCTATTATTTGTGTTGAGTGTGGATGCTGGGTAATGGGGTCAATGGTTAACGTTCCAATTAGTAGCTTGTCATTCAGGTAGAATTCAGTAGGACAATTTTAAGTCCTATCATACTAAGAAGTGCTGTTGCCAGTAAATGGAAAGTTGCTTGATGTAGATATGAAACCAAGTTGTGTTTTTCTTCATGAATGATCCTGATGTTTCATCTTTATTAATTCACTATTATTCTCATTCATGCTTAGTATCCATTTTCCACTTTTTTGGAAACAGATAAAATTGGGAAATATATGCTATGCATGTGTTATTTAGTTGCAAAGTTTGGCAAATATAAGTACAGTAATGTGATTTCTAAGCTTCTAGGTACCTACTGCATTTGTGTTGATATTAGAATTGTTACCAAGCTAGGCATGGCTATGAAGTTTTGCAAACACTGCGCTAAGTATGAGTACAGTGTTTCCTCAGTTGCTAGTCTATAGATAATTATTGAATGTGTTAGTTGGTGGGTTCCCGGGTGAAGTAGACAATGGTCTCGAGGCTGATGTTTGTGAGTATGAGGGAGACTGGACCCTCTGTGACCTGGTCAGTGCCAGCCTGACGCCATGACCCAGGCGGCAACACCACCTCCAGGCTATTGGCGCCGGCCTCCACCACAGGCGCCACCAGTAGGTCATCCCCCAGCAGGAATTCTGTTTGGGAAGAAAGGAAGTTGGTGATGCATAAAAATAGAAACGGTGCACAAATGCTCTAACTGCTGTATTTTTTAGAAGTATTCTTGTTAATATCATATAATGAATACTGTACATGGTAGGGGATAACTTATGCCTTTGAAAAGCTTAATACAGTACTGTACTGTACTTATTTTTGAAGGTCTTGTATGTGGGATGTCAATGCATTAGCTTTATCAAATACAGTATACAATTTATGATTACGTATTGATTGAGTTATCTTTAATTACCCATTAGCTTTCTCTGATGTTAATTCAGTGCTCTTGGGAATAATGTGGAAATTTGGTTGGAGTTATTTAAGGGATATAACTATGCAATGATTGTATTGTAAATATTTTTCATCAGCATACTGCTTGAGGCAAAAAAAAAATAATGCAATTTGGAGAGGGCTTTGGTCATGAGACTACAAGGGACCACTTTGTCAAATAATTACTAGATTAGACAAGAAAATGTTCTGATGAATATATGCAATTTTTTAGTTCCCTGATTATATATTAAAAAAAAATTTCCCACAGAACTGTGAAGTCTGCTACTATCATTCCTTACTGTGAATGCATGTGGGAAGTCTGACGACGCTTGAAATCTGGATAGATGAACGAGCAATACCATGCCTTTAGATATAAGTTGCCTAAACCAATCTCGCGCTCGTCTACTGTCGGTATTACTACCGGAGTACTCACGTTGGTTGGCAACGAGACACTCCTCAATGTCTGGACAGAGCCACCAAGTGGGTCTAGCAATGGGTGCCACACTCCTGGTGGCTTCCTCAGCCAAACGCAGCAGCAAGGGTGTGTACTGGTTGTGAAGGCTCGTCACTGCCAAGCTCAGCTCTATCACCTGCAGGGAATAGGAGAGAATATCGACATTTGGCTGTTGCTCGGCGCAGCAGCAGCACTGTGTACTAGTGCAAGGCATGCAACCATTAGTTGCAAAATCATTACAGTACTTGTAGAGAACCATGGAATGAAGACAATATGGTTGTTATAAATGCCTTTGTGTAGTGAAGTTGCTCGTAACTAACTAAATTATGAGTAACTGTTTTAACATGTTAAAGATTATGAAATTAATTGAATATTTTTATTCATAAATATACATTCATAATTATTTTTAACACAAACTTAAAGTAATTTGATTAACACACAAATTACATGTACCCCAAAAACAAAATTATAATTTTAGACAAATATTGGCTAGAAACAAAGCTTAAAACAAAAAATATTTAACTTGCATAATATATAACATGAGCAAAGGTGCAAAAAACATATGAATGCACAATATGAAAAATATATAAAGAAGTCTTTTAGGAGCACTGTACAACATGTCCTTAAATTTTCATAAAGTTTCAGGGGGCAACCTTGAATAAACTTTGTGAACACAACTCTTGCAATACTAAGCTGAACTCGACAGGATTTAATTGGTTTCTCAAACGGCTGTCTCTGTGACAGTATTTCATTAGAAATAACAAGCACCCATCCTCAAGTATCATCGGTTCATGACATCTTCGTTGAAGTACAGTACTGTAGTATTATACATCACTCGTTCCTAAGTTGTATTTTCTTAGTTATATTTTTAACAGTGAAGCATCCTGTTTCCAACACTGAGAAGCTAAACCATAGCCAAATGACCACCATGAGACCACATGGTGGGCATGTAAAACATAACAGTTGTCACAGTTATATTTTTAAGTGTTAATATAGAGTGATAAGCAAATGCCTTGGGGGGGGGGGGGGGTGAAGCTATTGTTAGCTTTTAGATAAGTCGTTCCCTTTTAACAAAGAGCTCATTTGTCTGTGAAACATTTTTTCAAGTGTTGGTGTGGATATTGGTCCAGAAAGGATGTTACACAGGTGCGAAGATGGGCAACTAAGATATGTCTTACGCATTTCCTTCATACATAATTTACTTACCAAGGTCAGCATTTCATGTGTTCATGTAGTTCATAACCATACAAACTGAAGCACTGATCTAAATAGTTGTCCTTTCCATCAGGTATCAGGATGACCAAATCCGCTTAGTCTCACTGACTTTCTGATGTTTGGTATGACTTTCAAGTCTCTAATTTGGATAAAAAGTCAAATGTGTTACAAACAATTACAGCAAATTTGCTATGATTGAATGTGAGGTTTATTAAACACTATATTTATCACATTTTTCTATTATATTTGTCCATAGCATCTTTGATAGGTACTAATAGAGCTATCAAAAGCATGGCAAAAAAACATTTTTCCTAGTACTAGGGAATACTATTCAGCTCTATTGGATAAAATCAAATCTAAGAACAGCTTAATTATATAACTTGAGAGAGCAACTTGACAGTAACTGGGATAGCCATCTGCAACACCAGGAAGAATCTGCTAACACAGATATTTCATCCTCATTCTCTGCACTTGTGTTTATTACATTTATTCAGCACTTCAAATTAAATTTTTGTACAGAAAATATCATAACCTTCATCTTTTGTTTGTTAATCTCAATTTAAATAAAAAACTACTTCATACCCTATAAGTTGTTTATAAATATGCAAACTATATTCCTTGGTTAACAACTTTTACGAGACAATTGGTCATGATCACATGTCCAATTGGTCAAATTTAAGGAACCACTAATACATGGCTCGCCCCCACCATGTGGTCTCCTGGTCGTCACTTGTCTATGGTTTAGCTTGCCAGTGGTGAAAACAGGATGCTTGTAAGGCTTATCAGGGTCATCCTACACAATGATCTTTCCCAAGGATGCAACCCACAACAGTTGCCTAACTCCCATATATCTATTACTCTTCCCCGCAAGCTCCAGAAAACACTTACCTGTTCATCGTATTCCCAGGGCAGGATGGAGAACTGGAGAGCTGGCATGAATGCATTAGCTTGTGCCCACCTCACGAACAGCTCTGTGCCTGGCTTGATGCCGATGTACCCATTGCCTCCAATCATGTCTGGCAGCACGAAAGGGTAGCCCAGTAGTCCTGAAGGGAAAAAGTGCAGGGGGTAACAAAGTAAAAGGGGAAGAGAAATGGCTAGTAGATTACAAGCAAAGGGAAGTGTTCACAAAGATATTTCCTTTTGTGTGGCATAAACCTACAGCTGAGGATCCTACCAAAGTGAAGGAGTGAAGGAACCAGGGTCCGGAGGCCATTATTGGAACCCCAAATGGAGTCCTTGTCTAGCATGCGAATGAAGATTGGGTGCTGCTGTGTTGCCCTCCCCACCCTCGCTTCAATCATGCCTCCAAACTGTGCCACTGTCTCCACATATCTGGTGAAGATGGTGTGGGTAAGAACAGAAGGCAGAGTGTGAGTGAATGAAAGCAAATTCTAGAGACCACCAGCAACAAGCAGTCATGCACTGTGTCACTCACTTCATGGTGTAAGCGTTGGGCCAGAACCTTTCATCAATATCAAGCGTGTACACTTCAGGCAGCCAGGAGGACTCCCCAGCGTCGAACTTGAAGCTATCAATCCCTATTTGCT